TTTCTTTGTGTGGAGACTTTAAGATGGGTACAGGCATTTTTTTTGTGTGTGTGTGTGGACACTTTATAGTGAGTACAGGCACTTTTTTGTGTGGACACTTTAAGATGGGTACAGGTACTTTCTTTGTGTGGACACTTTAAGTACAGGTACTTTCTTTGTGTGGACAATTTAAGGTGGGTACAGGTACTTTCTTTGTGTGGACACTTTAAGAGAAATACAGGTACTTTCTTTGTGTGGACCCTTAAAGTACAGGTACTTTCTTTGTGTGGACACTTTAAGGTGGATACAGGTACTTTCTTTGTGTGTACACTTTAAGATAGGTACAGGCACTTTCTTTGTGTGTACACTTTAAGATGAGTACAGGCACTTTCTTTGTGTGGACACTTTAAGATGGGTACAGGCACTTTCTTTGTGTGTACACTTTAAGATGAGTACAGGTACTTTCTTTGTGTGTACACTTTAAGATGGGTACAGGCACTTTCTTTGTGTGGCTACTTTCAAGATGGGTACAGGTACTTTATTTGTGTGGACACTTTAAGATGCGTACAGGTACTTTCTTTGTGTGGCCACTTTCAAGATGGGTACAGGTACTTTCTTTGTGTGGCCACTTTCAAGATGGGTACAGGTACTTTCTTTGTATGGATACTTTCGGATGGGTACAGGTACTTTCTTTGTGTGTACACTTTCAAGATGGGTACAGGCACTTTCTTTGTGTGGACACTTTAAGATGTGTACAGGTACTTTCTTTGTGTGGACACTTTAAGATGGGTACAGGTACTTTCTTTGTGTGGACACTTTAAGATGCGTACAGGTACTTTCATTGTGTGGACACTTTAAGGTGAGTACAGGTACTTTCTTTGTGTGGACACTTTAAGTACAGGTACTTTCTTTGTGTGGACACTTTAAGATGGGTACGGGCACTTTTTTTATGCGGACACTTTAAGGTGGGTACAGGCATTTTCTTTGTGTGCACACTTTAAGATGGGTATAGGTACTTTCTTTGTGTGGACACTTTTAGGTGGGTACAGGTACTTTCTTTGTGTGGAGACTTTAAGATGGGTACAGGCATTTTTTTTTTGGTGTGTGTGGACACTTTATAGTGAGTACAGGCACTTTTTTGTGTGGACACTTTAAGATGGGTACAGGTACTTTCTTTGTGTAGACACTTTAAGTACAGGTACTTTCTTTGTGTGGACAATTTAAGGTGGGTACAGGTACTTTCTTTGTGTGGACACTTTAAGAGAAGTACAGGTACTTTCTTTGTGTGGACCCTTAAAGTACAGGTACTTTCTTTGTGTGGACACTTTAAGGTGGATACAGGTACTTTCTTTGTGTGTACACTTTAAGATAGGTACAGGCACTTTCTTTGTGTGGACACTTTAAGATGGGTACAGGTACTTACTTTGTGTGGACACTTAAAGATGAGTACAGGCACTTTCTTTGTGTGTACACTTTAAGATGGGTACAGGTACTTTCTTTGTGTGTACACTTTAAGATGGGTACAGGAACTTGTTTTGTGTGGACACATTAGGATGGGTACAGGTACTTTCTTTGTGTGGACACTTTAAGATGCGTACAGGTACTTTCTTTGTGTGGACACTTTAAGATGGGTACAGGTACTTTCTTTGTGTGGAGACTTTAAGATGGGTACAAGGACTTTCTTTGTGTGGACACATTAAGATGGGTACAGGTACTTTCTTTGTGTGTACACTTTAAGATGAGTACAGGCACTTTCTTTGTGTGTACACTTTCAAGATGGGTACAGGTACTTTCTTTGTGTGTATACTTTAAGATGGGTAAAGGCACTTTCTTTGTGTGGCCACTTTCAAGATGGGTACAGGTACTTTATTTGTGTGGACACTTTAAGATGCGTACAGGTACTTTCTTTGTGTGGCCACTTTCAAGATGGGTACAGGTACTTTCTTTGTGTGGCCACTTTCAAGATGGGTACAGGTACTTTCTTTGTGTGGATACTTTAAGATGGGTACAGGTACTTTCTTTGTGTGTACACTTTCAAGATGGGTACAGGCACTTTCTTTGTGTGGTCACTTTAAGATGTGCACAGGTACTTTCTTTGTGTGGACACTTTAAGATGGGTACAGGTACTTTCTTTGTGTGGACACTTTAAGATGCGTACAGGTACTTTCTTTGTGTGGACACTTTAAGATGCGTACAGGTACTTTCTTTGTGTGGACACTTTAAGATGGGTACAGGCACTTTCTTTTTTGTGGACACTTTAAGATAGGTACAGGTACTTTCTTTGTGTGTACACTTTAAGATGGGTACAGGTACTTTCTTTGTGTGGAGACTTTATGGTGAGTACAGGTACTTTCTTTGTGTGGACACTTTAAGATGGGTACAGGTACTTTCTTTGTGTGGACACTTTAAGTACAGGTACTTTCTTTGTGTGGACACTTTAAGATGGGTACAGGCACTTTCTTTGTATGAACACTTTAAGATGGGTACAGGTACTTTCTTTGTGTGTACACTTTAAGATGGGTACATGTACTTTCTTTGTGTGGACACTTTAAGATGGGTACAGGAAATTGTTTTGTGTGGACACATTAAGATGGGTACGGGCACTTTCTTTGTGTGGACACTTTAAGATGGGAACAGGCACTTTCTTTGTGTGGACACTTTAAGATGGGTACAGGTACTTTCTTTGTGTGGACACTTTAAGGTGGGTACAGGTACTTTCTTTGTGTGGAGACTTTAAGATGGGTACAGGCATTCTCTTTGTGTGGACACTTTATGGTGAGTACAGGCACTTTCTTTGTGTGGACACTTTAAGATGGGTACACTTACTTTCTTTGTGTGGACACTTTAAGTACAGGTACTTTCTTTGTGTGGACACTTTAAGGTGTGTACAGGTACTTTCTTTGTGTGGACACTTTAAGAGGAGTACAGGTACTTTCTTTGTGTGGACACTTTAAGAGGAGTACAGGTACTTTCTTTGTGTGGACACTTTAAGTACAGGTACTTTCTTTGTGTGGACACTTTAAGTACAGGTACTTTCTTTGTGTGGACACTTTAAGATGGGTACAGGTACTTTCTTTTTGTGGACACTTTAAGATGCGTACAGGTACTTTCTTTGTGTGTACACTTTAAGATGGGTACAGGTACTTTCTTTGTGTTTACACTTTAAGATAGGTACAGGTACTTTCTTTGTGTTTACTTTTTAAGATGAGTACAGGTACTTTCTTTTTGTGGACACTTTAAGATGGGTAAAGGCACTTTCTTTTTGTGGACACCTAAAGATGGGTACAGGCACCTTTTTTTTGGGAGGGGGTGGGGGGGGGTGGGGGATGTAGGGGGCACTTTAAGGTGAGTACCGATATAATCTTTCAAGCATTAATATGCTTATGTAAGTAGTTAAATACATTCCTTGACATAGAGAAAGATTCATTACCATAATGAGTAAAATAGAAAGGTGATGATAGGCAATAAATTAATAATAACAATAAGTCGGCTATATAAAAGTATAAGGTTAGGTAGCAAACATGGTCAAAATTATCATTATATTGCCTTCCCATCCATATTAAACCCTAGAGGTTATGAACAGGATACTATTTCCAATAATATCATTTTTAATAACAAACGACAAAATGCAATTATTGTTTTATGTCATTATTTTTTTTTAAAGTATACATTAAAATATCATTATCAGGTGCCTTGCCGACTGGCGTTGGTGATCATGCCTCTCCATAATCCCCGATCTCCTGCAGCATGTATCAGTTCATGTGCTGACACACCTTCATGCCATGCAACAAGACTGTCAAGAATCTTCTCTCGTTGTCTTCCTCTATACCTCCTTCCACAGATCTTTCCAGTGGTCACAACATGTTCTATTTTCCCTCTTCTCATAACATGGCCGAAAAATGATGACTGTCTCCTTCTGATGTCTGTGATAAGTTGTCTTCAGGCTCCAGCCTCTTTCAAAACCTCTTGGTTGCTCTTTTTGGCTGTCCAAGGTATTCTAAGCATTCTTCTGTAAAACCACATCTCTGAGGCCTCAAGAAATTGTTTGGCCTGCCTACCGATTGTCCAGGATTCACAGCCATATGTTGAAACTGGATGTATGTAGCAAGCAAGAATTCTTTTTCTAACTTTCAATGACAAGTATAAATTGCACAAGATATTCTTTATTTTATAAAACTCAGTTTTTGCCTGTCCTATTCTGTTTCTTATTTCAGTTATGCATCTTCCATCTGATGTTATCTATGTGCCCAGATACTAAAATTTCTGTACTTATCCTAAAATAACACCATCAACTTTTATTACACATTTAGGAATAATTCATTTCTTTGATACCACAATTACTTCCGTCTTCCCATTATTCAAAATTACTCAAATATAATGCACACTAAATATGTCAAATATTACCCAGAGAAGAACAGAATGTTATTTGTATGAGTAAATACTACTGCATGAGAAAGGTTGAAAATTGTCATTGTATAGTAAGTACTGTTTTAAAGTACTGTCTGAAAAATTAAATTATGTAATCAGTGTTTCATCTGTACTGTAATAATAATATAGTAATGATTTTGTCATATATATCCAGTTGGATTCTGCTGGGTAACAACTGGGATACACAGAGCTTTGTTCTCTGTAGATACTGGATATTTATGTTCGACTAATACTTTCAGTTTCATAAATAATGGTACTCAACACAAAATGCCTATAAAGATACCAATAATCACCAAATAGTTTCTGTTACATTAGCACTTAAAAAAGATGCCTAAAAGAGGTGGCGGTATTGTTTACTGTTGCATACCACTAGAAAAAAAGCTAAGATTATAAGTGTACTTTTCAAATAATTGTGACAATAATTGCATGCAATCTGTCTACAAGTATATTTAAACTTATCTAGATTATTATTATTCTTTTTCTTTTCAAATTTAATCAGCCTTGGTTAAAACATTTTTTTTTTCAGTTTGTTACTTAATTTCTGATTGTTTCTTTTTTTTTTTTTTCAGCTCTGTTAAATAACAGCTCAGAAAATGGGGAAGTTAAACATTTTTGAGATCTCATTTTCAAACATCAGTGGTGTATTTTATGCTGGTAACATCCTGCAAGGACATGTTACTGTTGAACTAAATGAGCCAATGAAAATGAGAGGTACTTTTTTTTTTAAATATAAAAACAAAATCTTATCTATCTTTATGCAGTAAGAATGTATATTACTCTTTTATTTGGTACAATTAACTCTTTTTTTTCCTATTCATTTGTTATGTTCTTTGTACTAATGAAGAAAGTATTTATCAAAATGGGATGATCGCATTAAAACTGTGACAATGTAACAATAAATGGAAAATTTGAAATATGCATATACAGCTTTCCTGAATAAAACTAGAATTAAGAATGTTGTGGTAACAAGTTTTGGTAACAAGCTTTCTGCATCAGACAGCAATGAGAACCAAAACACAATACAAAGTATAGACCTACAACCATCTCACTCCGAGCCTTCTGTCAACATGCTTATTATTTTGTAGATTTTGAAGCTCACATTAAAAAAAAAAATAGAATGAGGTGGTTAGGGCTTTATAAATTCGTCTATACCCCCTCCTTCAACAAGTATTATGGAGTTGCAGTATTACAATCTTTCCGTTATGGACCTACCTAAAAATGGAGGCAAAAGTTATATTTTTTTCTTCACTATGATTGCATTATTTGTTTTTACCTTATTTCATTAAGTTTCCCCCACTGTTGTGTTTCTATTACTGAGTCAGTAATCACTTTTGTATTTATTGTTTCTGGCAGGGTTTTAACATATATTTTAAACTGAAAGAAGGGTGTATAAATATACTATACAGTTTACAATAGCTAATCCTGTCTAAATCTGTCTGTTCTATGTAAGCACCAGAAAACAGTTTTAAAACAGCCTAGTCATTATCTTTTTAATTATATTATTTGTGTGAAATTCAGTTAATAAATTTCAGGAATAACTTTGAGATTTGAAGGAAAAGCCTATGTGCATTGGACTGAACAACACTCAACTGGTTCAGGAAAAAACAGACGGACAGTAACTCGGCACTACTCTGCAAGTGAAGTTTACTTCAATCAAGACAGTTTACTGTTTGGCATTTGTAAGTGTTTCCTTCAGTGAGTTCAGAAAATTAAAATATAACTATAGTAATGAATAAAAGACACATTAAGTATTTACTGTCCTAAATCTAAGTCGTAAATTATCCAATTTAAGTTTTACTTTGTGCTTCTGGCCAGTTTGTATTTCTTTTGTGTTTGTGTATTCTGTACTTCAAATATTTTAATGTTTTCTGTGACTTGATATGATAGACAACAGATAGCCCAACAGCTACAGGAAACTGTAGACAAAGTGACTGACTGGTGTGCAGAAATGGACGCTGTCATCAACCTAGAAAAGGCGGCTGTTTTATACTGCTCTCTGTATAATAGAATTGTAAGAGCTGATGTTCCATGCCTCTCAATTGTTAACAGTAACATCAAAATAGAAAGCAAACTGAGGTACTTGGGTATCACTTACACTAGAAGCCTGTCCTGTAGGGATCACGTGGAGGCAGTTGTGGTGAAATGCCAAAAAGGACTCAATGCTCTCAAGATTATGGCAGCAATGGACATGGAACAAAGAATGCTGTTCACAATGTTCCAGCATGTGATCCTGTTGGTGATAGATAATGGACTTGCTTACCACATCAAAGAATCAGCTGATAAAACTTGAACGCATACAGAATAAAGCCATGAAGGTAATTCTGGGATGTACATGAGATACCCCAGTAGTATGTATGCGATATATACTTGTACTTATTACTATTGCAGATAGGCTCAAAGTTCTGCAGGCAAAGTCATATCTCTGAGTAGCTGCAGACAAGAAGCACCTCCTGCATGAAGTCCTGGATAGAACTAAGGGTCACAGACTGAAAAGAGGAAGGACTTAGATGGCGCAAGCTGAAGACACGATTGGGCATGTGTGCAGGCTTGATAAATTTGAGAGAAGAGAGGAGTGGGTAAAAGTGTCCAAACAAGTTTCAGACTTGTTTAGGTCATTAGTGCAGAGACTGGCCAGCTGGTGCTGCAGAATCAGAAGTTTAACAAATGATTCATGTCAATTCCTGCTGTGTGGGATCCGGGGCCCCATTTTCAGACTTGTCGTAAGAGTCGATTAAGTCGGAGTGCAGAGACTGGCCAGTCTGCATGTGAATCAGATCTGTAAAACTGATGCACAGAATTCAGAGGAGCAGTCCAGGTTCAACCAAATGCCATTCATGTCAATTCCTGCCAAAGTGATGTAATTATCTGATGGCTCCTTGTTGAGGAGCAGACGAAGTGCATGGGGGGGGGGGGGGGGGGGGGGGGGGTCATAGCAAAGGTGAATGGACATCGCTTAGTGCCGCAAAGCCTTGCATATAATATCACAACGTCTAGTTTGAGAATAGAGTTGGAGGCAGTCTCTTCTACCTTCTGTGATCTTGAGAATCAGCTGTACACACATGCCATGATTGTAACTGACTCACAGAGCATGTTGAGAAAGGAAAAGTCAGGCATGCTTCGTTCAGATTGGCAAGCACCACTTCAGAGGTCCCTGGTAGTTAGTATCCTTTGAATATTTTCTCCAGGGATGTTGGTGTGTAGAAAAATGAGTATGCAGATAGACTAGCCGGCTCTGCACCACTTGGTGGTGAACTGATGTGTGACAAGCTAGATAATGTGAGGGCCCTATGATATTGATTTCTTAATTCAACATTCTGTGACTTACAGCTTGGAGTTAGATGATGCTTGTTGTTTTATTGGTGATTTTGTGATTGCTAATTGATTCTACTATCCAGTATAAAGTCTGCGATGTCCCTCCCTATTGTTTAATGGAGTCTCAGTCTCCTCAGCATGGCTGTTTATAATCTCAAACTTCCTGGTTTTCTGAGGCCAGAACTTCTGGATGCCTGTTCATATTTTTTGCAGTTCCATAATGGTCACAATATCCATGTGAATTGAATATGGATGCACAGAACTGACTAAATAAACTATAAACAGAACAGCCAACAGTCTTTCAGTTGTGAAATTGTTCATGAAATTGTTCAGATTTTATTTCACAGTACTTACTCTTCTCTTCAGTTTCAAACCAAGGCAGCAATACTACTGAATTAGCACCAGGACGACATGTGTTTCCATTTCAATTCCTTATTCCACAAGGACTACCTTCATCATTTGAGGGTTTGTTTGGTCATGTCAGATATACTGTTAAGTGCATAATAGATAAACCCTGGAAGTTTGATCATTCTACAAAGCGGCCTTTCACCATTATCAGCATATTGGATTTAAACCAGCAGCCAAACTGCTTGGTAAGTATACATAAGATGTCATTTCAGTTTATTAGGATAACACATTCCTTACAAAGGAGCCACTGTAGCATAACAGATGCCCGCCCTCCAGCTTGAAGGTCTAGGATTCAAAGCCACAGTGAGGCAGATTTTTTTTAAATGGCTCTCTGGTTGACCAAGCCTCAACCGGTACCAGGAAGTGGCCTGGGAAATAAAGGTGGCTGGCATGATTTTCATCACATCACCCATCGAGTGCTCAGTATTCAGTAAAATAGAATAGATCTATTACTATATGCTTAATGTGTCAGTCATGAACAGTATTTTTTCCTTATAATAGCCAGTTTTCACAGAAACATGGGATCAGCTAGTCTTTATTCTTCTTCTTCGCGTTCACCAGCTGTAAACTGGCGGAAGTTTGGGTTGTTTGTCCACTTCTGGACTGCAGTCCTGTATGAGGACTTGATTTTTTTGTGTACATCCGTTTGACTATCTGACTAATTTGTATGTAGACTGTTGGTTCCTTGCCTCTAATGCTGATACACTTTGGCTTTGAAGGAAGCTCCTAATTAGTTGACTCTTACAACATGTTTTTGGGTAGGCAGTGGGTCTGTTCTTGTTTTCCCTGTAACAGGGCCCTGGAACCCACACAGGGAAGTCTTCAATTGAAATTTAAGGAATATTATGACCCCATGTAGTCAACAGAATGGAGTAACAAAGGTGATCTCACACCTGTCGGACAAGGTAACAACTAAAAAAGAAGATACTGAAAACCTCAACCTGGAGAGAATGATACAGCAAAGAGTGTATACGAGCCTAAAGTCCACCACTAGAGACTCTGGGGGTGGGGGGGGGGGGGGGGAGAGGGCAGCAAGACGAGTAGTGATGCAGATGGCAATAGGAATCATCAGTAAAGAGACTTTCTGGTTTTTGAGTAGGGAAACAGAGCTAATATAGGCTTGTCCTGAATGTGATGATGATGAATGTTTACCCAGATGAATCAAGGTAAAGCAATTGTGGTTTTCCTGCACTATATGTTTATTTGTGTGTGTGTGTGTGTATATATAATATATATATATATATATATATATATATATATATATATATATATATATATATATATATATATATATATATATATATATACATATACATATACATATATATATATATATATATATATATATACATATATATATATATATATATATATATAGGACATTAGATGCTGTAACAAACAATGTCTCTCTCCATCTTTGTGTGAATGTATATATATATATATATATATATATATATATATATATATATATATATATATATATATATATATATATATATATATATATATATATATATATATATATATATATATATATACACACACATATATATGGTACATTATGCACGAGAACAGGGATTCCTGCAAATCATTGTCACCTAACATCGCATACATGCACATGTGCTATCTCTGTCTATATCTCTCTTTCTGCCTGTCCTTACCTCTCTCAGTTTCTTTGTCATGTAATTGACACCATTTACTTAGTGACTTAGCACCCACTAATGATAATTATATAGATCTGTGTGTCTGTGTGTTCCTATCCCCAATGACATTTACCTGTTTCTTTAGCAAGGAGTTCAGGGATCAAACCAAAAAACGCTCTGCTGCTGGTGCTGTAAATCAGGACCGATCCAAGCCACATTTCATATTGATAGAACTGGATATGTGCCAGGGGAAGCAATCAGACTGTTTGCTGAAATAAATAATGGCTCAAATAGAAAAATGGACAAGTCTTATGTAGACCTAAAAATGGTGAGTTATTATTTGCAGTTAAGTAATATTTATCATTGTTTGTAAATCATATGTAAGACTTTTTACAGCATTACCTCTTTTAAGTTCACTGCATTTGCACTCCGATTGCCTAAGACCCTAAAAAGGGATTCCATCTTTTAGAGTGAGGCTGACTAGGGACTTTTTTTTCCCATAATGGTATTAAGGTTCTAACTCAGTGATGACTGTGTTGCAGAGTTCTCCCTTTCCGATGCTAGAAACCAGTTTGAAAGGTCCAAACTTCACACCTGCTGAGAAACATATTATTAAGAGGTAACCTGATAATATTTCAGCACATCACATTGCACTGCCTGGAATTAGAACCAGATTGAGTTATTCCCAAGTCCCTAACAGATTTTATGTATTTTATTGTCAATAATAGACTCTAATATATCTAATTACCAAGAGAAACTTTGTTAGTCTCACATCTTTTTTTTTATATGTTGTGTAGTCACAGTTTTTATGTTTCACTGGATATTAAATAATTTTTTTTTAAAAAATAGAAAACAGCTTAAAATGAGACACTTTAAAAAACAGTTGAAAGTGCATGATTAAATCTTTAGTTTATTAGTCAAAATGTAAAACAATAATCAGTATAATAAAGAGATAATGGAAATATGATTTCAAAGTTGAAAAAAACAACAACAACAACACAGTTAAAGTTAATTGTGTGTTCTTACAGGATATTGCAGAACCACCCCAGCATTTTTATGGCTGTTTGTGATTTCACTAGGCAATTTTATATTTAGTTGTTTGCCACTGCTTTCTAAACGGTCGAGTCTAGATGCCACTGTTGAAACCAATGCAATGTGGTCTGTTACCAAATCACCCGCAGCTTGGATTGAACCTGGCACCTCGAAGCACACTGATAATGCCTGGGCATTAACATGAACAGTACATTTTGAAACTGAAGGTAAAATTATGCTGCATTTAATGTAACAGATTTGATATACAACTGAGTACACAGTTATAATACAGCACTCTCTCTCTCACTAGGACATTACACAAGCGATAAACACCCGGTGACACAAAGTGGCACCATGTGGATGAGGATCACTCGTGGAGAGGTCCAAAAAAAAAATTTCAGCCGCTACGGCCAAATTTATGGTCCAGCTATATTCAGGACACCCCAGCAAAAGCCAAGTAGGGCTTCAAATAATGAAAAATTGCATTCCACAAGGGGACGACTTTCTTATACAGAACTAAGTTTTAAAATGCATTCTAATGGTAAACTGTTGTTTGGTAGCCAATCTTTGAATTTGCCAAATAATTAGTAGACTTTTTTAGGTGAACAGAGATTTATTTTCTGAAATGAGCTGTGACTGCCTTGCTGGTGATGAAAGAAAAAACCAAATGAAATCATTAGAAAAAGTCAGTTAGTGTTCTTTAGACAAGTAGTGAGAAGAAAAACATGTTAAAATGTCTTGATGACTGGAAAGACCACTTGCAAATGGACCAGAGACAGAGAGAGAAAGATAGGAGTGGGGATGGAGAGGATGCTGAATGGCCTAAGGCTGAGATTTGAGAAATATTATGGAAAAATAATAAATGTACTGTTTCCCCTTTTTCATAGATAACGATGTACCATGCAACCACAAAGTCAAGAATGCAGACTAGAGAAGTGGCTCGTGTTACCAGACCGGCCATTGAAGCTTATGGACAAGATCAGTGGAATGGAGAACAGCTTGTGATTCCTCCCTTGCCACCTTCATTCTTAGCTGGATGTAGAATAATTGATGTCAGATATGTTTTGCAGGTATTAAGTGTATTATATATTTTAATTCTTTAGCTCCCAGACTGACCCCACCAAAAATGGCTAGCAGAAAATATCACGGCAGGTAAAGGTGACTTGCACAAAGCTGACGATATCAACCACACCACCCATTAAGTATTGTTCGCTCTTTAAGAATACGAGTCAGTCATCATCATATGTTGAATGTTTCACTGGTGTGAAAAAGGTTCTTTACTTTATAGATTTCACACTTTGAGGTAATGAAAGTAAGTTAAAATTACTTGCTTGATGGTTTCTAATTGTGACAGCAACAATAACAAAATAATAAATATTATTCGTACATATAACTATTACAGTTGTTTACATGTGAGCAAGATATGCTGTGTTTAATCCATTTGTAGGCATGAATGATAATATTTAATCCACCCAGATATTATGACACTAAAGTCAGTGGAACATATGGCATAATCATTACATGTCTGCATGTGTGCATGCGTGGGTGTACACTATGTATGCATGTGTATGTATGTATGTATGTATGTATGTATGTATGTATGTATGTATGTATGTATGTATGTATGTATGTATGTATGTATGTATGTATGTATGTATGTCGGTCGGTCGGTGGGTAGGTGGGTGGGTGGGTGGGTGGGTTGGTCGGTCGGTCGGTCGGTGGGTGGGTGGGTAGGTAGGTAGGTAGGTAGGTGGGTGGGTAGGTAGGTATGTATGTATGTATGTTATGTATGTATGTATGTATGTATGTATGTTTGTATGCATTAATGATGAAGAAGAAAATCAAATGAAATCATTACAAAAGGTTGATTAGTAATCTTTAGATCAGTAATGAAAAGACAGACAGTGGAAAATATGTATGTATTCATATATATGTATGTTTGGTTCTGATGAAGGCATGCATTTCCATAGTCTCTTTTCTATAGTGCAACTTTCATACCACTGTCTGTAAAGCCACATAAACTTAGTTGTTCTAAAGCGCCCACCATAGTAATCAAACCCTAGTGGATCAAGGATTATGACACATATTTACTAATCTTTAATTCACAGAGCTGCATAATTATCATATAATTTTTACTGAAAAACAGTTGAGTTGATTTCAGAATGCCACAGATAACTGTGCCAGATTAATTCAGTATATAAATTTAAAATGCTTAACATTACAGTTTGTTTCATTTGCCCCTCAACAGCTCAATGTAGACCCATCTGGACCTTCATTTGACTTGGAAGTTCCCCTGGAGATTCTCATTGGCACAATTCCTTTAATGTCAGTGGTGCAGCAGTTTCGCCCCATGTCACCATTGCCTCCACCAGGCTACAGTCCGTCTGCACCGCCAGCTGAGGGTGCATTTCCTGATGCTCCACCCACTGGCATACCAAACATGCGTAAATATTTAATTACAAAAAATATCTTTAGCTTCCTATTCTTCCTTTTCTATTTCCTTTCTTCTTTTATTCATCCTTCTCATTCTTCCTTTCTTATCCCTCTTCTCTTACACCTCATCCTTCTTCTACTGCTATTTCTTCTGCAGCCTATTCTTGTTCTCATAATTCTCTGCTTCCTATTTTTTACAGTCTTTTCTCATTTGTATCTCTCCATGAGACTTTGTGACTTGTGTAATTCATTTTAAGGGATTCCTTTATGTGCTTCATTTATATATTGAAGTAATTTCTGAAATATGACAGGTTACAGTCAAATATGCCAGGCGGTTTCATATCGCTGTCATAGCTGGGGGACGGTGGTTGAGGATGAGCTCTTAACTCTCATCAAATACCTCTAAGGCGTGTGCATTCATCACCTCTGACAGCAAAGTCCAACTCGTGGCCTTCTCATGGCAGAACTGTTTAAAACCAACAGGAGAAGGGGTGACAGCAAGTATCTGACGCCATTAAACCAGACGGCTCCTCGAGTGTGATCACAGTCTACCCTAGCAAAACAAGGTGCTGAAGTTGAAGGCAATGAGCCAGATGGTGCACCATAGCAATCAGGATGCCATGCACACACGTCGTGGAAATATGTCTCAATCAGCAAAAGGCTATGGTGCTCGCCCTGTGGTGACAGGAGCAGTGCCGGGCCCTCTAAATCAAAGAGGCCCAACCCATATTACTGGAGGTCCTTTCCAGATGTCCAGGGGATATGAGAATAGAGCACCTGGCCAAACTAAGAAAGAAGCTAAATTATTTCACTGGAATGAGGAGAAGGTTAAAAATAAAAAGCTAGAGTTTGAAAAGATTTTCAATGAGGAACAGATCCATATATGCTCTCTACAAGAAACCCACCCCACTAAAGATGCGGTATTAAAAAACAGAGGTTATCTGTGCTTCCGATCAGACCAGAAAGGCAGATAAAAAGTGTGGAATACTACTTTAGTAAGGAACAACATCACTGTGAGCCAGATGAAGTAAGTATGGACGGAGGAGAATATCAAATTCTGAAACTACAAATTGGAAATGCAAAGTTTCATGTGATCAATTATTAATGCCCATGTGACCATCTCCAATCATTAGACACGATCCTAGTCTAAGAAAGGATGATTCTATATGGAGATTTAACATAGATCAGAGAGGAGAAAAACTGGAGGAGTGGCAGGATGATAACAGACTTGTTCTAATTAATAGGCCAACTGATCCACCAACATTCTACTCCAGATCGTGGCACATTACTGCTACCCCAGACCTAGCATTTCATTCTCCAGACCTGGAATGGAACATTACATGAGTTGTTGGAAAACAACTAGAAGGCAGTGAACATCGACCAATTCTCTGACTGTGGAAAATGAGACCGACAGAGCAACTAGTACTCTGTCAAGGTGGAGCTACAAGAAGGCTGATTGGACAATGTACAAGCACCATACCAGTATACTGGTTGGAAATTTTAGCATAGATCAGGAGATTAACCAAGTAGTTAAAGAATTTAACAAATGCTTACTACAGGCAGCAGGAGAATCAATACAAAGAGGTGCCCATAAATATTGTAAGCAATGCTAGAAAAGTAAAAAAAAAAAAATTACATAACAAAGTGGAAACATCCAGGAAGAAAGCAGAGACCAGGCCAAACCAAGAAAATCACAATAACTACCAGCATGTAAAAGCAAAATTTGTAAGGGCAAAGCTGCAGGTTAGAAGGGAAAGCTGGCAGGAGAAAACAAGGTCGCTGAACTTTGAAAAAGAGACAAGAAAATTATGGAATCTAGTAAAGTAAATTAATAGTGAGGGTACAGGGTGGAACTCAAAGATCACACTGGAGAAAGATGGAAACATGGTCGCAGGAAAAGAGACAGCTAACCTCTTTGCAGACACTTTTCCTTTAGATAACAACTTTGAAATCAATTCAAAGAAAAGGCAAGTGATTCCAGAAAAGAGACAATAAGCAAATAAGAAAGAAATAACACCAGAGGTGCTTGAGGCACCAGTTACACTAAGTTAACTGGATTTGGCCATTACGAAGCTGAAAATGCGGAAGTCATTAGGAGCAGATGGTATACTCAATAAAATGATCAAAAACCTTAGAACAATAGCCAAAAGAAAAATTTACAGATATTTAATGCTTGCTGGGCAACAGGGAATGTTCCACAGATCTGGAGAGAGGCAATTATGATACCTCTCATAAAGTCTAGGAAAGACAGCTTCAATACATCCAACTACAGACCAATCAGCCTCACAAGCTGTCTCTACCAAACAATGGAGCATATCACCAACCTCAGGCTAGAGAGTGAGCACCTTCAGGTTAGTCCTGAGAACTTTCTGGTTAGTCCATAGTGTAAGTACATATTAAAATTTACTGTAAGCAGTTATTATATTACTTGCAAGTGATTTCACTTTTCTGTTCTGAAATATTTTTGTGTGTGTCTATATTTGTTTTTAGCACCTCCATCTTACAGTGAGTGTATCACTGGCAGAGTCAACATACGTGAGGCAGGAGATAATGAGCATACTGGAGGAAATTTGGACTATGCACCTGTCTACACATACTACAACTGGGGAAACACACCGGGTGCTTTACCTGTGCAGTCAGGAAAGCAATAGAAAATTGCTAGATTTTGTTATACATTACTGCTCATTTTGACTTCTTATAATTAATTCATGTTGGTACTGTTAATGCAGCTTTAACGAGCTTTTCTGAATGTTATGTTATATATTGGACTGCCTTATGCAAAAGAACGAAAAATAATCCTATTCTACAAGATTTAAATGTTGAAGGAAATCTGGAAATTTGGGACAGTTCAGCCAGTCTCGTGATTTTTCAGTATGGTGCAAGTCTTAGAAATGCCACCCCTAAGAGCTTCACACTGTCAGATCAAAAGTTGTAATTCTGTTTTGAATTTGCTGCTTATGTTGCCCTCATTATGGTGCTGCCTGGTGCGGTCACCTCTCTGTATTATAGCATGGCACGGCCCTGAATTCAGCCATATTAAATAGTGATTTAGAAAAAACAACAGTGAAAAGCATGATTCCTTTGAGAAGAGTGTCAAATGACATGAAACAAGTATTACACTGTATAACTACATGTATCTGGTTCACAGCACTGTGAGACTTTAAAGAAAAGAGACAAAATTAGCTTGGAAGCTTTTAAAATAAGATGATATCATAGAGGGCAAAGAAATAATTCAAGCAGCAGGTGAAAGCAGCATCATATGGCTTCACAGAATATTTAATGCAGCATGGGTACAACAAACTGCCCCTATTGATTGGCAACATGCAATAGTTATACCATTGTGGAAGAACACAGGAAGCAAACGAGAATGCGGTCAATACCGAGGCATCTCTCTTTTAAGCCATGTTGGCAAAATGTATGCCAAGATAATAGAAACAAGACTGAGACCAGTGATAGAACCACAGCTGGCAGAAGAACAGATGGGATTTAGGAGAAATAGAAGCTGCACAGATGCAATCTTCACACTTAAACAGTTAATAGAAAAGAACATTGAATACAATAAGAACTTATTTGTGACATTCGTAGACCAGGGGAAGGCATTTGACAGAGTCGACAGACAATTATTATGGAATGTAATGGCAAGATATGGAGTGAGCGAACACCTCATCGAAGTGTGCAAAAGTTTCTACAGGAATTGTAGAAGTGTAGTTAGAATAAATCAGGGAACATCTCATCTATTCACAGTGACATCTGGAGTAAGACAGGGGTGTGTCTTATCACCACTGCTGTTTATCACCTACATTGACAGTATAATCAAGAATGCCAAGCCCATGAATGAAAATGTTAGTAAGATCAACAAATTACTCTTTGCAGATGACCAGGCCTTGATAGCAGATACAGCCATGAAATTGCAACAACATCTAACATTCATGAATGAAGAATGTAAAACAAATAATATGAGAATCAACACTGAAAAGACAGAAGTAATGTCAATAGGAAAAAAGAAGACAGATCTAAACATAGCAATAGAGTGCAAAGGGATTAAACAGGCATCTGAGTTTAAATATCTGGGAACTACATTTACCGAAGATGGAAAATTGGATAAAGAAATTAACATTAGATGCAGTAAAGCAAACCAATTATTAGGACAGGTAGCCCCCCCCCCCCCCTCTTACAATCTAAATCAGCACAACGAGACATCTTATTTAAAGCATATTTATTCCAACTCTGTGCTATCAGTGCCAGACATGGTCACTCACAACAAA